ACTGAGTTACGGTTTTTGGCACTTTTTGCCCCGTATCTTCGGAACGGCTAGACCTGCATTTGCCAAAAACTAATCAGCACGCCTCCTTATCAATACGCATTTTGAATTATTCAAATCGGTTGATCGGTGTTCCCGAAATCGTCGACGAAAATTTGTATCCGCACACACACACACACACATACGTGGTCTGTTCAAAAAGTACCCGGAATTACTAATAATTAAATTTCGCGGGTCTGGAGTGTCTGATTGCCAAAATTTTTTTTTTATTGTGTTGGTATACATGCCCCTAAAGTATGATGAAATTTTCAGCTATATTCACTGTTTACTTTGTCTGTGGTAGTCGCTAAGGTTCGACGTGTTTTTCTGAGCTCGGCGATTTTTACAATGGAAGAATTGAAAAGTCAAAGAATTTGTATTAAATTTTGCGTAAAAATGAAATAAAGTGTTGCAAAGTGCAAAAATTCACCAGATATGGCTCCGTGTGACTTTTTCCTATTCCCAAAGTTGAAGAGACCCATGAAAGGACGGCGGTTTTCCTCGATTGAAGAAAATCGCTGAGAGTGCTCAAGGACATATCAAAAAGTGAATATCAAGGGTGCTTCGAAAATTGGAAAAAACGCTGGCATAAGTGTATTATATCTGGGGGGAACTACTTTGAAGGGGACCACATTAATGTAGACGAATAAATAAATATTTTTTTGAAAAAACGAAAATTCCGGGTACTTTTTGAACAGACCACGTACATACATTAGGTTACATAGGTATGCCAAAATGTTCAGAAACCTTTGAAACGTGAAGATATATAAAAAATTTCATTTCCGATTTTTTTGCGATTGCTATAACTTACCCTAAGGGAAGTTACCTAGAGTGTGAATATTTTATTTATCAGTATATTTACTATTTCTTTATGATAAATCATTATCATGTCATATTGCCATTGAATAAAAATCTAATTAGGAACGACGAGGATTCGGTTGATTTGTTCTTTATGTCAAGGTTAGTGATTCAATCAGAATCAGTTACACGTCATTAAGGCGAAAAAGTGAGAAAAAGGTCAGTTTTTAAGATGACTTTTACGCTAGAATGACCAAATGCGTAGATGGAAGTATACTGTTACATAATATAATTATAAATAAATCCAGATGGAATACAATTAGTCATTCACTGGCAGTTCCGTATAAACAAATTTGCAGAACAATGTAAAATATAAAATATAAAAGCAACTATTGCAAAAACATCGGAATTACTCGATATATCTAAACAATAAATACTTTAATTAACTTCCCGTAGGGCAAGTTATAGTAATCGCAAAAAATCAAAAATGAAAATTTTTATATATCTTTACGTTTCAAAGGTTTCTGAATATTTTGGCATACCTTAGAAAAAATGGATGTATGTGTGTGTGTGCGGATACAAATTTTCGTCGACGATTTCGGAAAGACGGATCAACCGATTTGAATAATTCAAAAAACTTCCGATTCGTATTGATAAGGACGTGCCGATTAGATTTTGACATAGGCAAAAACGGTAACCCAGTTTTTAATCAAACAAGATGAAGAACTGTTCAAATTTTTGGGAAGGCAGGTCAAGCGGTTATAGACTCTCAATGAAAATAGGTTAAAAAAATGTCATTTGGCGGTCAAAAATGTTTATTGCACATGTGTACATCAAATTTTCAGATATTTTATAGAGATTTTAATAATGTGTATACATTTTGTGTAATTTTTGTTTGTGTTCCGTACCAAGATTTTTAATTACGGTACGGGAAGTTCCAGCAATTTGCCTTAAGGCACGATGCCATGCACCTCACTAGTTTCAACTTCTTTTTCTGGGACTCATCAACCGCTCGATCTGCCTTCCCAAAAGTTTAATCAACTTTACATTCCATCAATACAAATGAATTTTTTTTTTATCATTCAAATCGGGCAAAACTGAATTGCCATTTATGGCACTTTTCTAGCCATAACTCCGAAACTTTTAACCCTGAAACCGGCTAGATTTGCCTGTGCCAAAAACTAATCGGCACGTCTCCCCGTAAATATGAATCGATTGCTTTTTGAATCACTCAAATCAGTTGATCTGTGCTCTAGAAATCGTCGACAACAAATTGTAACCGCAAATACATAAACACATATACATCAATTTTTTAACAAAATGTTCAGAAGCCTTCGAAACGTAAAAAGATGCAAACATTTCGCACATTTCTACTAATTCCAAAGAAACAGTCCTAAAAATCTTCTTGCAGAGCTAATCGACGCTATTTCTTAACCCTTGACGAGTTTTAAAAGATGACTTTTGAATTTTTAAAATCGGTCCATAGGACTATAGTCCATGGTTTTTCGTCAATTTCAAACATGTCAAAAATATTAACATTTTTCACCCATTTTAAAAGTTTCAAAAACATACATTTTCCCTTTAAATATTTCATGTCAAAATATATCCATGGATTTTCACTCATTTTGAACATGTCAAAAATATTAATATTTTTCAAAATAGAAAATCCAAGCATGGATAGTGGTGGTGATGGAACATCCGAAAAGAGAGAAGATGTTGAACCAGCTGCAGCGGTTGCGCAAAGTAGATCTACTTCAGATTACCATAAGTCTCTAAAAGATTCTCTTATTGGCATAAAACGTGTGGCTGATCTGGCGGAGCAGGCTGCTATCGTTCAACAGCAGGCTGCTGAGGAGGCAATTGAAGCTGCTGCTGATACTAAAACTGCAGCAGAAGCAGCACGTAAAACTGCTAATGACAGAAAAAAGGCTAGACAAGAATCTCCATTACCAGGAATAGATACTGTATATCACAAGTCTCTAGAAGATTCTCTTATTGGCATAAAACGTGTGGCTGATCTGGCGGAGCAGGCTGCTATCGTTCAACAGCAGGCTGCTGAGGAGGCAATTGAAGCTGCTGCTGATACTAAAACTGCAGCAGAAGCAGCACGTAAAACTGCTAATGACAGAGAAAGAGCAAGAAGAGGATGCAATTAAAGCTGCTTCTGATGCTAAAACTACAGCAGAAGAAAGATGCAGAATTAAAGATATATCCATGGATTTTCACTCATTTCAAACATGTCAAAATAATTAACATTTGGATATATATATCAGCAAGTCCGATTCTTTGGCAAAAACTAACTTATCCTTGTGATAATTAATAAGCTATGACATTTGTTCTTGAACAATCTAAAGATTGTAATTTTCAATTTACAAATAAATTTAAACATAAAAAATACCTTTGGCTTTTATTGAATATACTGACTTGAATAAACTGCAGTTATATAATTTTCTCCTATTTGCAAGAACTATTAACTTAATCAGTTGATCTATAATTTAAAAATCGTATTTATCAAAAAGTCGAAACTCATAATAAATTTAAAAATAACTTTTAAAACACACAAAATGTTCATTGAATGTCCATTTAAAAGATTTAAATTTTACTACAATTGTTTGCAAAAAATATCATCAATTAAATCAGCATCTATTAAGTAATTTATATGTTCAATAAAACAATATGTTTATATTTTTCATAAATGATTCATTTAATCAATCAATTTTTTTTTCAAAAATCATACAATAAAAAATAAAAAAGACGCACACAGAATAAAGTTCATAAAATATTTTTTATATTTCAAACATTTCATCGGCATTTGAATTTTTCCGACAGGCACTTTGTTAAATTAGAAATATAGTTATACATTGCTATATAATAGTTCAATTTAATGATTTTGTAATATTTAATATATTGACTTTGTAAATATAAACAGAAGCTCTGAATTGATAATACAAATACAGGTACACTTCTATAAAATTTACAATCAGTTAATCATTCATAATAATTTTGTGACGATTGAAAATTATTATGATATTTAGGAAATGAAGTCATGTTAGTTATTAACTCTGTTGACATATTAAAATGTGAAGATAAATATAGAGGTTATTAAAAATTACTTTATTAATAAAAAGAGATAATATACTTATCACCTTCATAAGAAACCAGTTTATTTTAGTTTGAAACCAAATAAAGATTTCAAATATTTCATATCAAAACCAAAATAAAACTTATCAACAGAGCTATTAAAAAATATGTAAATTTAAAATCCAAAAATGTTGGATCAACTATCACACAAGCAAGTGAAATAGTAATGGTATTTACATAAGCAAAATTCTCATAAATTGAACAAATTTTTAGATTTTTTCAATGGATTTCATTGTTTTATAATTCCGTGCTTAGTATGGCATACTAGCAACTCATTAGGAGATCTTAATGTAAATGAAAAAAACTGTAATTAAGATTAAAATTAATAACAACAGTATGAGTATTCAAAAAATTGAACACAAAATTGATTTCATATTTGTTATATTTAACAAAATTAACTTAAAAATAGAATTATAAAGTGTACATTATTCATATATACATAGACTTATAGCCTCTCATTTACAAGTAAAAAGATTCACATTTAACAAATCAATCTCATTAATACATATAAATCGAGATCTAATTAAAATTTATTTGAAAAAATACACATTCAACAAATCTCATACCTATATACAAACTCACAAAAAATTCATATCTACAAATATATATTAAATGTAGATATATATTTTAATTTAATACATACAATCACACTTCTTTAAAATAGTAATACTTTTTCGTTAAGAGACACTTAGTCGATAATGAATTAAGTACACTTGAGTCTTACTTATATAACGAGATTCCTTATAACTATTCAACATTATTAAAAATAAAACTAATATGATGAAAAAGTAAAAAATGAAATATGCTTATAAATTATAAATATGTTACATTTACATACATACATACAAAATTATATATATTTATATATAATTACATACACTTTCACAAACATACATTTGCATATACATTCATACTATGCATCTGCATGTGAATGCATTATCAAATTATAAATATAATTTTTATACAACTACTTAATTATACTTATCACACTCTTATTTATATAGTATTTGTTCTAAAACTCACTTTGTTAAGCTCAAGATTCGAAGTGATTTTAAAAAAGATACATACTTTAAATATGTAACTGATGTGTTAAAAGAACATGATTTTAAATACATAAGAAATCGTATCACAAAATTCACACCTATTCATTCACTCTAGCACCTAATTAGCATCTTGCTTGATGCTGTTACTATTACTTCGATCTTTTCTGATTCTCCACAGCATCAGTTCAACGCAGGCCCGAGCATCCTCAAAGCTGTCATGTCCACTCTCGGAACACTGTATATCACGTTTTAAGAAACTACTGGCTAAACTTCTCAAGCTTCTTCTAAATGGTAAGCCATAATAGTGTGGGAAGGCAATGGCTGTGTCGATGACTGTATTGTGCAGGATTTTCAAAGCACGCAGGTCATTTTCTAAACCATGACCGATTAAGATGGTGTCTGCATATATAAATTCTAAAAGATCATGTTGTACTTCTTTTAAAGATTTGCAGGTGGTACCGTTTCGCTTTGATAGATCCCTGGCGGTTATTCCAGAGAATCTTGTGTTGTAATCTACTATTTCAGTTTCTGGTTTGACGAAAGCATCGTAGACCAATCTGCCATCACTGCCAACTACAGTAAGTTTAGCTAATTCTAGACCATGAGCTGTGTAACACATTTCACAATCTAAAGCATAAACACCAGGATTATCCATTTTACTCTTGCGAGTCTTGGTTTTAACATAGCCATCGAATGGACCATTAACTCCAAAATCCACACCATTCCACACATGCAATCTTCCAGTTTCACAGCCATTGGAATTTAATTTGCCTTTGCAGCATGTGTATTCCTGCTTTTTGTAAGTGTTATCAGGGTTAATTTGCAATCTGCCCCAGTGATAAGCACAGTGCTCTTGAGTTAAGTATTCACCATCATTGGTAACGAAAAATCCTTTACCGCAACGCACGCACTTTTTCTCATCACTCGTATAATCTTGACGCATTAGTTGTTTATGCATTTTCTCCTCGATGTAGAATTGCCGTTGCTTCACTTTCAAACTTTGAAGTTCCAATTCACTCATTGAGCTCGGTTCTTCGTCACTAGAACCTTGCCCAGAATCGGTGGAGGAAGTCTCAGCATTAGGCGGCACAAAAGCAGAACTCGTGTTGTAAAATAGTTTGACATTAGTCGGAGGACTTTGTCTAGGATCGTTAGTTTTATATATGATCGCTCGTTTAGGGTACAAAGAGCTTTCCACAGGATACCCTAGAGTCAAAAAACTGACTCTCGTTCAATAAATAAGCTCGCAAATACTTCACCAATTCATTCTCGGACAAGTTCAGCTTAGTGTGTTGTCGCAGTGGCGGCGCTGGAGGCCGGCTGGCCTGAATCGAATTCTGGGCCACCACTGTTTGCTTTTTGCTAGTCGTCACCTTAGTTTTCATTTTCTTCTGGGTGGTCGAATTCAATCTATTTTTTCGTTGCCTTCTACTCAACTTGGGACTGGTGTCTTCCACATCGATCGTTTTTGTTTGACCAGGCGAAGAGTTCGGCGAAGAACTAGAGCTGGATGAAGTCGAACTCGATGACGCGGTACTAATGGTCGAACAGTTGTCGGAGAACTGATGATTGGCAATGTTGATGTCGACGCGAGATGTCGTTTGGACGATGGGTGGGTCTTCACAAACACCGAGAACGAAAAAGATAAGTTAAAATTAATTTTATGAACAATTGTGCATGATACAACAACGGAGCCAGCAGCCGAGAGAAAATATCACATGGTAAAAGATAAGTAGGTATTATTTGTCTTCATTTGCATTTTCAAACTTTGCATGTTTGCATTTATATTTTGACAATAATACTTCCTAAAGACAAACCAATCGTTAGTAAGATCAAAAAAACAAGAAATTTCCTTTCAGATTTTAAATTTTGTATATTTAAATTTTAATTAAGAATATTTTCTTCTAATGCTGCAAGCTTCCATGTTAACAAATTCTTATTCTATCTGGTGCTTATTTATTATTTATTTCTTCAAATGTGCAAAAAAGTTAAACGTTACACGGGTTGTGAAGACCCCGTGGTCATATTTTAATAAAGAAAAACAAACTGATTCTATGATCTTAGATTATATATACGTATTTGTATGCGCGCCATTTTTAAATGAGTAAATACGAATCAGTAATTAACGGGTTTCCAAAAAATGGGATATGAGTAATTCTGGTTGAATATTTAATTTGAACATTAGAATTTAATTATGTTAATATTTCTATCTAAATTATATATTTATATATAATTATATAATCTACATCCTGACATGGACATGTCATGTTTCTACACATATTTATCAAAAAATAATCAGCAATAATATAATAATTAATTAATAAATTTCAATCTATTAGATCTATTGAAATAGAATAAATTTTAAATTTTATTATTCTACCAACCAATATAAATAAAAATATATATTATCAATTATTATTTTTAGTGAGTGTAATTTAATTTATGGTGAGTAAAAAATTAAAAATAATTTCGATACCTCAAAGGTAAAGAGTGAAATTTATACTTCCTTTCTTTCATTTTCAAACGATTGAAAAGTGTATAAAAGCATAAAAAATATGTTAATAAAATGTTAGCTCTTTTACTAGGAACAAATAAGATTTTATCCCATATCCCCAAATGTAGAAATATTTATAAATTAAAATTTAAATATTTTTTCAAAAGTGGGAGGTGGTTCAGAAAAATTAATAATAGTACAATTGTTTAAGTTTTCTGAATAGCTATTATTAATTTTGATTTTTAAACTTCTGAACAAACAGCCTATTTTTTCAAAGATTGAATTAACTAAAATTGAATTAAAAATTGATTAAATCATTAGACCTTTGGGTTATGAGATGCTCTTTTTCAGTAAAACTATTGATAATTAATAAAATAAAATTATATATTAATACAATTAAATAATTATTATAAAATTGAAAATACATATTCACTTTTTAATTTAAAGGTAAGGCAAAATAAATCATTAAGATAAAATGTAAACTCTTTCTATTTTATAATAATTAAATAAAAGTATTAATGTATAATAAAATGTTTTGATTTGTTATTTTATATATTATTGTAAATGTTTTGTTTACAGAAGAAAGACATATCCAATATTTATTTGAAAATAAATTTCAAAAAATTTGAAGAGAAAGGATACTTTTAATTCTGTGTTTTATTATATATTTCTCTTTCATTTGTTAATCGAATTGTATTCTATTTTTATTTTGATGAGTCAATTACATTAATTTAACTGCTCTAATATTTATAATGATATTATATTCACTAAAGTTTTTAAAATGTTTTTTTTTATAAAATTATACTAACAAATTACTTTGATATCGTCCAAAAAAATATGTAATTATTAAAATAAATTTGGTTAAAAGAAATTGTAAATTAATGTAGCCTGTAAAAGATAAAATGAGAATCAAAAAATATATATATTATGATTTTATAGAATCACATTTCTTTCAATATTATTAGGTATTTAATATAAGGAATCAGAGGTTCTTTCATTATAATAATAATTATTATTATTATTATTATTTTTCATTATTATTATTATTTTTCATTATTATTATCATTTTGTTATTTTATCATTTCTAATATTGTTATTAATTATTATTTGTATATTTGCATACCTTAAAAAAGTGGATGTATGTATTTGTGTGTATGCGTGTGTGTGCGTGTGTGTGTGTGCGGATACAAATTTTCGTCGACGATTTCAGGAACACGGTTCAACCGATTTGAATAATTCAAAAAACATTCGATTCGTATTGATAAGGAGACGTGCTGATTAGTTTTTGGCATAGGCAGGTCTATCTGTTCCGAAGATACGGGGCAAAAAGTGCCAAAATCGGTAACTCAGTTTTTAAGAGAACGGAGCGTCCGATTTTAATAATTCAAAAAACATTTTACTTGTATTGACAAGATGAACTGAATAAATTTTTCGAAAGGCAGGCCCAGCGGTTATGGACTCTCAATGAAAATAAGTTAAAAAAATGTCATTTGTCGGTCAAAAATGTTTATAGGAGATATGTACATCAAATTATCAGATATTTTATAGAGATTTCAATAATGTGTACACATTTTGTGTAATTTTTTTTTGGGTTCCGTACCAAGATTCTTGATTACGGTACGGGAAGTTCCAGCAATTTGCCTTGAGGCACGATGTCATGCACCCCACTAGTCATTGCTTTTTATTTTATATTAAATTATCATAATACAAATATTATTTTAATGGAAATTCTGTCCATTTTTGTACTATGTATTACTAGATTTTATGTAATTTATAGCAACAGATATTGAAATTTAAAAAAAAAAGGAATCAGAGGTTCAATATTATTGGTAGTATTGTAGATTATTAAAATAAATGCAAAAGTCATTCTTGTTTATTGCTAATCTTATAGAACCTCAAGATTGATCTTAAGATCTTAATTCCATAAGCTAATTATTTAATTTTATTGATCTTCAGATCAATCTTGAGGTTCTATAAAAAAGCAATAAACAGTATAGAATGACATTTGCATTTGTTTTAGTGATCTATAAAATGACTTCTTAAATTATGAGTCGCGACCACATTTGGGGTCACATAGGAAAATTATGGGGGCTAGAGATTTTAATGTAAAATATATTTATCATTTTATAATATCACTCGTGTCATATTACATTACTTCTTATAAAGGAAAAATGCAACTGTGTATTTTTCACTATTTATATATCGATGTCATTTTATATATAATTGCCAAAAGATTTACTTAATGTCTATGTAGGATAGTTGCAAATATATTGTTGAATATAAAAGAAAAAAAAATTATAATATCACGTCTGGATTTTTGTATGTTTTACAACAAGTTCTAAAACCATATGCATATATGTATATTGTTGCCTAATAAATAATATTGTTACCTAATAAATAATATAGATCATCTAAAAATTTTAATTTCACTTTCTTTTATATTTGTGTGGAATCGTCAAGAAGCTTGCTATCATAAATGGGGTCGCAAATGAAAAAAGTTTAAGAAGCCCTGGTCCATAAGACTACCATTTATTTTGGCTCTTTTTCATCTATAGAACTACCTGTGTTGAAAATAACAAAACAGCATAATTATTTCTAATCTGAAAAATCGTGTTTTTATATACCTAGTTTTAAAGTCAGAGCTATTACTTTTATGATCCAATCAGGTTTTGCAAATCTATCAGGTCAAAAAGAGCCAACAATAGCACACTCTCAAAATAATTTATTAAATTTAAAATAGATCCACCACATATCCATAAGCCTCTTATATTTATTATTAAAATACCTTTATAATTTATGGTCTAACTTCTATCTTCATTTCCTTGAAGATCGTCGTCTCGATCAATTACTACTACTTCCTCAATTAGTTGATTAAAATGGGTTTGGCAATTACAGAAATTGATGTAAATTAGATAAATAATTTCAAATAGATGTCATTAACCTTCAGAATAAACCACGCCGCAAATTGCGAGATGAATTTCAATAATTTGTATTTGTCGCCGTACTTGAGTTTTTTTCCAGTTCCAGCAGAGTATGAAATTTTTATAATGTTTAATTTATATCATTAAATAGTGTCGAAATTAATGATTGGTACGTCAAAAGATTTCTAGATTGGTTGAAAAAAGTGATCTCATGGCGTTGAGTCATGTTGAGTTTCGGATGGTATTTGTATGAAAATAAACTGATAATTGTATCAGTTATTTTTCTTCAGCCTCAGGTAATCAGAAATTTTAAATATAATTGCAAATTGATAATCTGGTTTCAGGTAATCAGAGGGACGATCAAACTAATAATAATCATATTTGAAAGTTAATAGTCACTTTTTGGATCAGTTATAATATTTTAGGTAACGAAAAAAATTCAAATCTACCGCCAAA